GTTAGTAGAATGCACCTCTTACATGAATCAGCAGAGAAAGTCTCGTAAAATTCTGCCGAACGGCGAAAGAAAAAAAAAGTGAAAGTCTAACAGAATGCTTACTATGTCTAAGCAAGAAGAAGGCCGGTTTTGTTTTATTACTTTCTTCAGTTTTAGATATACCTTTTAATGCAGTTCTGGTGCTGTCGATTTGTTGGATATTGTTTTTGAAAGCGTAACACACACACACACACGCTCATAATTATGTGTCGGAAGAATCTACCAAACAGCAAAAAAGTTTTTGTTGTCCGAAAACTTTGATCTAAAGTCAAAGAAGACAAACTGTCAGTCTGTCTTTATGCTTTGAAATTGTAATGTTTTAAATAAATGAGCATAAGCTAGACGCTTCTCGACTACATTTGCTCGAGATGTAATGCACTATAAAAGTAATAAAATTTCGTAAACCAAATTTTTGTTCCTGAACTTTTGGAATTAAATTTTTGCTTTGATTAGACGTTTGTTATGTAATGCTGTTCAAGGTGTTTTCATTTCAAAGTGTGATGGTGAAAAGTCGATATTAGAAATTTAGTTGTAAGTGTACACTTTAAAAGTTTGTAGTTGTGGAGGATGTTTTGGAAGACAGAAAATTATTGCTGATATAGCTAACACACTGTTACTGAATAATTTGCATCCGTTCTATGGTACATCGGATACCAAGTTATATAAGTGCTTACTTGTACTTGATTTACGCCTGGTTGGAAAATGATGATTTCCCCCCCCCCCTAAAGGATTTTCCGCGCTCGGTAACGGTGATGGAGAATTATTGACTGAAGGACGCGGAGGCTAACAATCAAAGTCAACAAGTTGTCGGTGTTTTGGCAGTGCAGTCGTGTAGAAATGACCTCGTTACTGTCACACTGGCCTACGTTCGCGTGTCCAGAGGCTAACAGCTATAACCAAAAGAAGAAAAAAACAGTTGAAGCAAGAGAGAAGGATAGGAATAATAATATTAGCAATGATAGTAACCCCCCGCCCCACAGTTTTGGGTACATACACTAGAAATTCCAATCCATAACGGACCTAACACGCCAGGGAACACAAAGCACGAGGTATTTAGTGCAGATGCCATTGATAAGGATGACGCATTTGCCTGATTGGCGTTGATAACAGCCCACTATTTTTCGTACTCTGTGTTAGTAGAATTCACCTCTTACATGAATCAGCAGAGAAAGTCTCGTAAAATTCTGCCGAACGGCGAAAGAAAAAAAAAAAGTGAAAGTCTTACAGAATGCTTACTATGTCTAAGCAAGAAGAAGGCCGGTTTTGTTTTATTACTTTCTTCAGTTTTAGATATACCTTTTAATGCAGTTCTGGTGCTGTCGATTTGTTGGATATTGTTTTTGAAAGCGTAATGTAAATAACAATAAGAGGATCACATATTTGATTTGTAACTAAGCGGTCGTAATATACTTTTTTTTCATTTATGGATAATTAAAATAACTAGATTTTGTCAGTGGTAATGAAAACGGTATCGTATAGTGATTGGTTTGATAATGATGAAGTAGACCTAATCAGTATTAACATATATGGTCACTGTGTGATTTATATATAAATAGGGCCCATAGTTGTATGTAAAACGCTTGCAATAAAAATCAACAATACTAAAAGAACAACAACAAAAACAATTATATAAATAACACCAACAAACAAAGCAGCAAGAATAACGGTAATTAAGAACGATGCCAATAACGGAAACACGCCTAATGAAGATCCAGATCACAGACCACGCTACCCTATTGTATGTAAGAGTCATCATACATCTGGCAACCGTCAAGCTGTACCGTCGATAGTGTCCTTCCAACCAATGTCACCAGCAGCAGTCCCACTTGACCTGCCAATATGACCCTTGCGTAGATGGTGTCGAAGGTTGATATTGAGCTGGCGGTGGTGCCCGTAGTGTATGATGGTGATGCTAATACAGTGATAGCTACATCCTCTTTGGATCGATTTGTTTAGGCCAGCGTTGTTATTGTTATTGTTTTTACTTCAAATCATCGCAATATTTTTTTTCATTCTGAATCATCGATGCTGTATTAAAAAAAATATATATATAATCTCAAGTTTGCTGTTAGGGTTATTTCTTTAATATTATTATGATGGTAATATTTATGATTATCATTGATTTATCGTTTTTTTATATCTTTATTGCTATTGTTAGTATGGTAAAAAGGTGGCAGCCATGTTACTGCTACTATAAATAATATAAATCATGAATTGAACTATTTTTGTTGTTATCGTTATTGATATTATTATTATTATTATTATTATTATTATTATTATTATTATTATAGTTGTCATGCTTATTGTTTTTATTGTGATTAGTATTTATTAATATTATTCCGTATAGTGTTTCTGTTATTCGTATAAATGTTATTGTTATCAATTATTAATTTTTTGTCGGTTATTATTCCATTAATTTTGATCATGATTACTGGCTTTGAAATCATTACTATTGTTAATAGTAGTGTTAGAATGGTCAATGTCACTAGGACTGATATTTTTAGTACAGTAGTGCTGATAATGTTGATAGTAATAGTAATAGTCATGATAATAATAGTAATAATGATAATGATAGTAATAATAATAATAATAATAATAATAATAATGATAATAATAATAATAATAATAATAATAATAATAACAATAATAAATGATAATGATAATGATAATATTAATAATGATAACAATAATGATAATAATGGTAATAATAATAATAATGATAATGATAATAATGATAAAAATAAAATTAAAAATAACAATAAGAATAATTATAATAATAATCAAATAATAGCAATAAGAATAATTATAATGGTAATAGTAATGATAATAATTATGATAATAATGATTATACAAATAAGATTTATGATAATAATAATAATAGTAATAATAATGATAGTAAAAATGTACGTAACGTACATAATGTAATAATGGAAGAGTACATGAAAAGGGAAGAGAAAAGGTGGAGAAATACCAGGACTTACGAAAGGAAATTGGAAGACTATGGCAAGTGAGAAAGGTGCAGGTTGTTGCTGTGGTTGTAGGTGCCCTTGGAAGTGTGACAAAAGAATTTGGCAGGTGGGTTGAAAAATTGGGAGTCCCGGGTGATGTTAGAGCTGTGCAAAAGACTGCCTTGTTAGGAACTGCAATGATCCTGAGGCAGGTGTTAGAGATGTAAGAGAGAGGTTTCCTGTTAGCCCTTGGTCATTTGGTATCGCTCGCCTAACAGGAGGGATGGCGGTAGTTCCAGCAGCCAGAGCATTTTCAAAATAGTAATAGTAATAATAATAACACTGATAATAATAGTAACAAGGTTGATAATAGTAATCATTGTGGTGGAAATAATGTAGATAATGATGACAGTGATAATAACAATAATGATAAAATAATGATCATTGTTATTATGGTAATGGTTGTTATGATTATTGTTGTTACTAAATTTAATGTTATAACAACAAGTTTCTCATTTGTATTATTATTATGAATATTATTGTCATTATCACCAATAC